TTCATTCTTTTTTCTTTCTGTTCTTCGGCCTGGATGATTCTTTCTTCTGTTTAAATCTGCTGTTGAGCTTGTCTAGATTCTTTCATTTCAGTTATTATACTCCAGAATTTCTATTTAGTTCTTTTACATAATAGAAATCTCTTTACTGATATTCTCTACTTGGTGAGATATTGTTCCTATGTTTTCCTTTCGTTCTTCAGATATGGGTTCCTTTAATTCTTTGAACATATTTAAAATATCTGATTTAAAATTTTTGTCTAGTAAGCTCATTGTTGGGCTTCCTTAGGGACAGTTTCTACTGATTTTTTTTTCTTTAGTTTATAGTTAAGAATTTTTACAATTTTGAATGCTGTATTTTTTTTGCCACAATTGAGATAGAAAAGTTACATCACTCCCACACAAATTCCTCTAAACCCCTTCATTCACTGTGTTTTATGCATTACCCTGATGTCTAACGTTAAGCACCTTTTCATGTACTTATAAACCATTCATTTATCTTGTTTTCTGAAATATCTATTTATGTCTTTTGCTCATTTTTAAATTGGGCTATTCATTTTTTTATTTTTGATTTATGGGAGATGTTTATATATTTTGGAGAGTATTCTGTTAAATATATGTGCTGAGAATATTTTTTTTCCACTATGTGGCTTGCCTATTTGGTTTCTTAATTACACCATTTTTATGGATAGTGTTTTAATTATCTTGTCCAAGAAACTGTTGTCTACTCCAGTGTTGCAAAGATAGCCTCCCATGTTTTCTTCTATGAGAATGATGGTTTTGGCTGTTATATTTAGATATACAGTCCATCTAGAATTAATTTTTATGTCTGCAGTAAGACTGAGTTGAAGTTCATGTTTTTCCATATAGATATCCAATTGTTTCCACATCGTTTATTAAAAATATTTTATTTTCACCATGGAAATGACTTGGCCCCTTGGTCTATTTAAGAAATCTTTGCCTAATCCAAGTTAATTAAGACTTTCTTAAATGTCTTCTAGAAGTTTAGTCCTATGGTCCATTTCAAGTTAATTTTTGTAGACAATGAGTGGTAAGAACCAAAGTTCTGTTTTTTCTTTTATCTACTTATTTTATCAATTACAGAGGAGGAAGTTTAAATCGTCAACTGTGACTGTAGATCTATTTTTATCACTAGTTCTGGTAATTTTTGATTCATATATTTTGAAAGGATTATTAGGTACATGCACTCTAAAGAATTTCAAGTCCTCTTGATACAATTATGCTTTATCATTATGAAATCTATCAAAACAAAAAAGAGTTTCTTCTCTTTTGTAAATAATCAGTCATTTTCTTTCTGCCCTGGATTTATTCTTGAATTTTAAAGGATCCTGAAAGGGACAGGCTGCAAGAATATGTTGATAGATCTATGTATGTGCAGGGAAGAATTAAATGGCAAGAGGAAATGATCTGAAAACTGCATATAAGATGTAATGCATGTTCGAGTAACATATATCTTCAGTTTGAGGAATATTTTTTGATTTTCTTTATATTTTGCAGTTTAAAAGGTATTATTTGATTTATATTTTAAGAAATGATTTAAAATAGTTATCAATATTGAATAGCATTGTTGACCCAGCATGTAAGTTTGTTTCTATACCTCATATATTAAAATTTCAAAGTGTTATCTAAACATTTAAAGTAAAAACAAAATAGCATAGCATAATATAGTAATTAAGATGAATCCTGGCTATCCCATTTATTAGATATTATTAGTTATTATGAGCAAAATAACCTCTAAACTTCAATTTCCTCATTGGAAAATGATAAGAATGATGTTTCTGTATTTACAACAAGCGATGGAAAGTATTTTTGGAAGAATGCCACTCTCCAATTCACGCAGCACTGGATTTCCACATATAAACTAAATAAAGTACTATTGAAAAAAAGCTCACAATACACAATTTAGAACATCAGAAAAGTATTTACTATAAGTCACCATAAAATAACACATAGTAGATATCTATAAACTGCAGAAAATAGAACTAGTATTTATCGAATATAAAATAAATAGGTTTAAAGGAAAAACCTCCAAGAATGGAAGAAACTAAACCCCACAAAACCCACCAATGCAGGATAGAAAAAGAATCCAAAAGAATTTATAGAAAGAAAATGGTACTTTAAAAATAAAAAGTTAGTTATGATTTAAAGATCAGATTAGACAAAGCTGAAAAGAATTTATGAACTGAAAAACAGATCTGAAATGAAGTTCAAGGAGACAGTTTTTAAGTATAAAACTGGAGTTAAAAGACATGGAGAACAAAATGATAATGTCCTCTCATAGGAGGAGTTCAAGGACAGAATATACACAATGTGGGAAAGGTAAAATCTGAAAAGACAATGGCTAAGAAGATTCCAGAATTGGTGAAAGACAGGAATCCTCTGATTCAGAAAGCATAATGAATCCACCCCTAAAAGAAATAAAATGCTATACAGAGACTTTAGTGAAACTGCAGTACACTAAAGACTGAGACACGAAAGTAATCAGTGAAAAAAATTACCTACAAACAAGACAGAGTATAGATCTTTTTGTTAAATAGCAACAAAAGAAGCCAGGTAGTATAAGCAGTATCTTTGAAGTATTGGAAACAACAGCTATCATTCTAAAATTCTATATTGAATTGTATTTACAAGTGAGGGTAAAATCAAGATATTTTCATAAATACTGTAAATGTATTATCAAAAAGAAATCATTGCTAAAGAATAATTTATGGGCTCCCACTAAGGTGTATTTGGATATTTGAAAGATATTATATATATTTTATTGTAAATTAAGTTCATTGTGGTAACATTGGTTAATACAATTATATAATTTTCAGGTGTACATTATAATTTGACATCTGTAAATTCTATTGTGTGTTTACCACTCAAAGTCCAGTTTCCTTCAGCTACTATGTATTTGATCTCCTTTACCCACTTCACCCTCCCCCTACTCCTCTATATTTGACCCCCCTTTACCTTGTCTACCTCCCCTCTCCTCCCCCATTCATACCCCACATATAAGTGATATCATGTGGTTTTCAACTTTTTCTGTCTGGCTTATTTCGCTTAGCATGATTATCTCGAGGTCCATCCATGTTGCCACAAATGGCAGTATTTCATCTCTTCTCGTGGCTGAGTAATATTCCGTTGCATATATGTACAACAGCTTCTTTAGCCAATCACCTGTCGTAGGACACTTCGGTTGCTTCCGTGTCCTGGCCACTGTGAATAATGCTGCTATGAACACTGGGGTGTGAATATCTTTTCAGATATGGGTTTTCAAGTCTTTGGGGTTAATACCCAGTAGAGAGAGGGATTGTTGGATCATGTGGTGGATCAACTCTTAGTTTTCTGAGGAACCTCCATACTGTTTTCCATAGTTGCTGTACCAATATGCAGTCCCACCAGCAGTGTATGAGGGTTTCTATTTCTCCACATCCTCTCCAGCATTTGTTATTACTTATCCTGTTGATTATAGCTATTCTACCAGGTGCGAGATGGTATCTCATTGTGGTTTTGATTTGCATTTCCCTAAGAGCTAGCAATGTTGAGCATCTTTTCAAATATTTGTTGGCCATTTGTATGTCCTCTAGGGAGAAGTGTCTATTCAGATCCTCTGCCCATTTTTGGATTGGATCGTTTGTTTTTTTGTTGTTATTGAGTTGTATGAGTTCTTTGCATATTTTGGTTATTAGGCCCTTATCGGAGGCATTGCTTGCAAATATATTTTCCCATTCAGATGGTTGTCTCTTTACCTTGTTGAGGTTTCTATTATTATTTTAAATGGGATGCCCAAATATGCCTGAGGCTTTTCTAGGTAAAGAAGATGATATCCACCAATCTTCTTCTGTAACCTGATGTGTCTCCTCTGAGCACCAAGAAAATGTGCAAATATGGAAAATTCTCCCTTTGATCTATCTTTGTTTATAGCCTCAACCCTTCCAGTATCACTAAAACTTTAATAAAAAAAGACATCACTTTTCATGCAGTTGTTCAAAATTTTTCATTGAACACCTACTATTTTCTAGGCACTCCACCTGGAATGATATGTTCATTGCAGAAAAATTGGAAAATATAGAGAAAAATTGGAAAATATAGTGGCTATATAGAAAATACACAGATGTCCACCAACATTAGAATGGGTAAAGGAATTGTAGTATAGATATAAAATTTACTACTACATAGCACTGGAAATGCACCCTTTATAGCCACGAGCATAACAAGGATGCATTTAAAACACATGTTGATTTAAAGAAGACAGACGCACCCCCAAAATAATATAATTCCATTTATATAAATTTCAAAAATAGGACAAATTATTCTTTAGGGATGTCTACTTAAGTTGTAAAATAATGAAAAGTAAAAATAGAAATGATTGGTAAAAGCTGCCT